GTTGGATGGTTACAAGAAATGCCTTGTAACTGCGACTGTGTAGTGAACTTAACCTGATGTCAAAACTAAGCCTAAGGTCAAAACCCTTGACCTTAAGAACCTTGTGGGACAGAAACTGTCATTTCATTGATTTGAATCTAGAAATACAGGTTCACCCATCCTGAGACTTTCCTTCTTGAAAATCAAGTGAAAGAACACTCTCTTTTTATTATCATTACTATTTTACAAATGTTGATAATCAAAGTGTCTTAGTTCAAACCATTTTAGATGTTGCAGTGAACTAATCAATTTTATTAACTGTGAAACAGTGTAATGATTTTTTAATGCTTATGCAGAGTTAGAATTCATGTTAAGGTCTGTTACAGATTTTTATGCATTTTCTGATTTCTGTCTTTGAATGAGCAAGTGTGCGTTTTCCAAGGTCAGGAGTCGAAGCAGACATGTGTTGGAACAACTGTCTTGTTTACATCCTCTCAGACGTCAACGGAGGAGTTGGCACCTGTTTCTAAAACTCGCCAAAACAAAACTCTCTCTGTCGCTGAGAACAATTTAATCTGTTCCATAACAATTCTTGCTGTTTTCTGACTTCTAGTAACCTCTTACATCACAAAACACACCCCTGTCTGGTTGATATTACCCAATCAGGGACGCTCAAATGAACCGGGAATAGAGCTCTTTAAAATGCCGGTACTTCCTAGTTCTCCAGTCTGAGCAGTTCGGTGAGGCGCTGAGAAGTCCTGAGACGTTCGCAGTTCTGTGAAGTCGTTTGGGAGAACAGAAGTCCAGCCATGATAAAGCTCTTCCGAGTTGGATTATAACATCTTCCACCTCTGAGTGGAACTTCTGAAGGACCCCACTCATGTGAAGTCCACTTGCTGATGTGAGCTGGTGTCGGACGGAATCTCGTCACTACTTCAGACGAGTCACAGCCATCCTATGGAGACGCTGGACAGGTAGCGTTAACTGGACCTCCATATCTGCTGATTAATCTTCAGAAAGGTAATGAGTCAAGTTCCCTACCAAGCGTACTGAGGAAAAGCTGGGTTCGGATGGAGAGTGTCGGTTCTGGTCAACACTTCCCCTCACATACCATCTTTTACTCCCTTTAAACTTCATTTCCATCTTTAAATTCTTCTCTCAAGTAGAAATCCTTCCAGATAATTTAGAAATGTCTGTGTAAAGTGCTCATCCACCGCCGTGTGGATAATTGATCATAATTGTACAGTTTTCATTGATGTCTGCTGTTCTGCTGAAGAGTGGAAACAATCGCCGCATCGTTTCTCACTACCTGTAAAGCTGTTAATTATGTTGTTATTTTCATATTTTGCCAAATTAATGTAAATGTTTGATGTTAAACTTTGATTCTGTAAAATAAATGACCGCATTCATTTTGATGGGTCAAAGATAAATGACGTCTCACGTTTACATTTCATTAAATTCAATGCACGTTTTATTCAGTCCAGAAAAATGAGGAATCCGTTTTAATTGATGAATATTTCGCAGCATCTGTTCATCTACAACTGTCCTTCCCTCCATTGATTACGGTGACATTATTTACATAAACGCTCCTACAAGCACCATGCAGATGTTGGATGCTGCCTATCATGGTGCGCTAAGATTCATAACTGCCTGTAACTACTGTACCCATCACTGCACCCTGTATTCACTGGTTAACTGGACATCATCAGAATCAGAATCAGAATAAACTTTATTGGCATTGCACCGAGATACAACGTGAATATGTACATACAGTCGACCGAAGATGGGCGGAGTGCACCAAGTTGCGGCTAAAAATAATTAGTGCGGCCTTCTTATTCTTATTCAGAATTATATTTTGCTTAGATGAGAAAAGGAAAGAAAACATGAGGAGAGACGGTATAAAGAAAAGATGTCTCACACCGTGTCCTAGACAGGGCACAATTTGAGGCATCAAAAAAACCTACTACAGCAAAGCATCATAAACAGACGTTATACATGTACATATAGGCGGTGAAAACATTGCATTTTTAAGTGAAAGTCATAGCATAGTCCAGAGCACACCCCCCCCCCCCCCCCCCAGCCATTGTCCAGATAAGAGGTGACATTCATCTTAAACTCAGATGAGGTTCTGTTACATGTCCACGGCCTTGGGGAAGGGAGGAGTGAGGAAACAGTCAAAGCATCTTTGTTGTTTTCAAAACATTCCAGGAGGAGTTGAGATAAGTCCGGCATCAAGGCCACAGTTTGGGTCAGGCAGAACTCGTGAATTGTTGTTTCTGCCTTTAAAGTCTTGCTGTACATATTCTCTGATGGAACTCCAAAACAGCCGAATTGATCCTTTACTCCAAAAGTCGAGCTCACAGCTTCTCCAGATTATTCCCACCATTCATGAGTGCTGCCAGGGAGATCACAGTCCTGATAACAGCCACTCCAATTCCCTGTCACAGCTTTACATTCAGTCCAAGCACTGTCAAGCTTCAACACCTCCACACGAATTTGTAGACAACCAGATTTCACCAACCCAAACAGTAGAATCTAGTTGTCATCATTTATCCAATTTGTTTCCTTCATTAACTTCACGCAGACTCTCTCACTTGTACGTTTTCATCTTTAAATCACTTCTTGGTCTGCTGCCTTCATGCATCTCCTCCTACATGTCTCTGCATGAGTGCAGCTACAGTGTGCACTTTCAGGACATTATTACATACAGTGTTCCCTCAGTGCGGACTGAACTAGGCAAAAGAGCCTTCTCCTACTTTGCTCCTGTTTCTTGGAATATCTTGCAAAAAGATCTGAAGCTTTTGACGTTGACCTCTCTAAGTGACTTTAAAACTCTAAGTTCATGGAAAAAAACAATGCAGACATGTTCCTGTTTTTAGTTTTCAACACCGCCTTATAATCTAGCTGTTTTTTCACTATTTTTTTTTCTTTTGACTGTCCTTTTGGTTGCCATTTTATTTTCATTTGTAAAAAAATAATAATTTGTATGCCTCTTTTATGATTGTCTATTGTTGTTGTTGTTGTCATCACTCTTTGTTAAATAAATCAAGACTCTCTTGTAAATGAGTCCCCAAGGCTCAGTGGGATTAACCTGTATATATTAAGGTTGAATGAATTGTAAGAGGGTGAAAATTGGATACAAGGCCTCTGCCCCATTTAACGATGGATGGGTTCTCTTCATAAAGAGGACTTCCCTTACTTCTCTCCAATGGGTGATGGGAAACAAACCATAATCACTGATTTGTGTGGGTTTACACTTCAATTTCCAAATGTCTTCCATCAGAGACTGACCTCACAATCCAAGAAAGTCAGCCTGCTATCTTTTACATCTTGTCATGTGAACTTTATATATTTATCCACAAAGATGATGTGATCAGTAAAATGTTGGACTTCCTGAGATTTAATTTTAACCCAGGTGTCAGCAATATACCTGAACCAATGACTTGGTGGTGTCCCTGAAAATAGTGCCAAGGCTCTCGTTTCTACCTCCTCCATGTACTGTAATGGGTCTGTATTGATCAGCACAACACCTGACTCAAGAAAATATTTTAAAATGTTTTATTATTCAGGGCAGCACGGTGGCGCAACTGGTAGAGCTGCCGCCTCTCAGCGAGCAGGTCCCTGGTTCAAACCAGGTCCAGGGGCCTTTCTGGGTGGAGTTTGCATGTTCTCTCCGTGCATGTATGGGTTTTCTCCGGGTGCTCCGGTTTCCTCCCACAGACCAAAAACATGCATGTTAGGCTGATTGGTAACTCTAAATTGTCCCTAGGTGTGAGTGAGAGAGTGAATGGTTGTTTGTCTCGTTTGTCTCTATGTGGCCCTGTGATGGACTTGCGACCCGTCCAGGATGTACCCCGCCCCTCGCACAGTGATTGCTGGACATGGGCACCAGCGACCCCCGTGACCCAAAATGGAATAAGCGGGTAAAGATAATGGATGGATGGATGGTTTTATTATTCAAAGGCGGCATCTGGTAAGGATCCCGGCCTCGTTTCTGGTCCAATCTATGGAAGCAGACAGGTTAGTGACTGCAAAGAGGTTCTGGGAGCTGAGAGGGGTAGTGTGCATGTCACTAACCTTCTGTGGCAGAAGCAAGGCTGAGGCAGAGAGCATTGGAGGGCTGGGCAGGAAACAGAATCCAGGGACGTAGCAGGGGTCGAGAGCCAGGGGCAGAGTGAGCAGGCAAAAGATCCAAAAAGGAAGAGTCGTAGTTGTGGTCAAAAAGGAGAGCGAGGTCGTACCGTGTAAGCTGCAGGCGTGGTATCCAGACATGGGCAAAGTCAAGGAGAGGAGTCATAGATAAATGTGTGGGCAGGGGTCCAAATGTGACAGAGCCCCCTCCCTACAGCTCAGCTCCCGAAGGGCCACCAGGTTGGTCAGGGAGGGCATGGTGAAAAATCCTAATCAGGGACTTGTCGAGAATGTGGCGACCGGGGACCCAGGAATGCTCCTCGGGGCCATAATCCTCCCAATCTACCAAATACTGGATACCCTGACCCCACTGTCTGGAGCGGATGAGTCTCCTGACAGTGAAAGCTGGGACACCATCAATGAAACGGGCAGGAGGAGGTGGTCCGGGGGAGGGCCCAAAGTGGGACTGAAGAAAAGGCTTGAGGCGAGAGACGTGGAAAGTGGGGTGAATGTGCAGGGTACGGGGAAGCTGAAGACGGGCTGCCACAGGATCTTACTGATGGGAAAATGACCAACAAACCGGGGTGCCAACTTCTTGGAATCTACCCGCAGGGTTAGATCTTTTATGGGCAGCCAGACTTTTTGGCCTACTTGGTAATCAGGTTAGACAGAGCACCTCTTGTTGGCCCCCCTGGCATATACCATACCATACCATACCATACCATACCATACCAATTTATTTATATAGCACTTAAAACAGCAACAAGGCCAACCAAAGTGCTGTACAAAAGAACCAAACATGCACAGCAGACAGGAAAACATAAAATAGAAATACAGATACAAATAGCAGCAGAAGCTAAGCATATGTCACATTAGACCTCAGGAGTGCCCTACTGGCTCTCCTCCAGCTCCGCTGACATCATAGGGCAGCCCTGTGGGCAGATGGCACCCAAGCCTCCCATTCCTGAATAGAGAACACCGGTGGTTGGAACCCAGAAACCACATAAAGGGGTGACAGACCTGTGGTGGATGAGGGCAGAGAGTTCATAGCATGCTCAACCCATGGTAGGTTGTCGGCCCAGTTGATAGGATCATCCTGACACATGATGCAAAGCTTGGTCTCCACCTCCTGGTTGGCTCGCTCTGACTGACCATCAGACTGTTGGTGAAAACCGGAGGGCAGGCTCAGAAAAATGCAGAGCAGGCTGTAGAACTCCCTCCAAAACTTAGAATCAAATTGGGGGCCACAGTCATAGATAATGTCCTGAGGGAGCCCATGCAGCCTGAAGACCTCCCTGGCCTGGGGGGGGGGGGGGCGCAATGTGAGGGTTTGATTTGTTTACATTTATTGCAGGATAAAATAAAGTCAACATCAGATGCTAAGTTCCTCCACCAGAACTGGGACCTGACCATAGTCAGTGTCTTGTTAAGACCAGGATGACAAAAAATGCAAGTGCTATGACACATCTCCAGCACTTCCTTTATTTTATTTTGGGGAACAAAGTTTCAACCCTTGGGACAGCCAGGAGGTGGACCGTGATTCAGCTGGGCCTAACGCAGCTCAGACTCTAGTCGTGTCACAGTGAGCCGCACTGTCTCCGGAAGGACGAAGTCCTTCTTCATTGGAGTGTGACTGGGCTCATCCTCCTCGAGACAGGACAGGGCATCGGGCTTCAGATTCTTGATTCCAGGTCTGTAGGAGAGAGTAAAGTTGAAGCATGAGAAGAATAGTGTCTACCTGGCCTGCTTGGGACTAAGGCACTTAGCAGTCTTAAGATACTCCAGGTTTTGTGATCCGTCCAAACAGTGAAAGGTTCTTTGGCCCCCTCGAGCCAGTGTCTCCACTCCTCCAGGGCCATCTTGACAGCAAGCAGCTCATGTTCCCCCACATCATAATTCCATTCCACAGCAGAGAGACTCTTAGAAACGAATGTGCACGGGTGCACCTTCCAATCACTGCTGCACTGGCTGAGAACAGCTCTGGCACCTGTGCTGGAGGCATCCACCTCCACAATAAAGGGTTTGCTGGAGTCCAGTGAATGTAGGATGGGGGCTGTGGAGAACAAAAGTTTTAATTGTTTGAAAGAGTGATCAGCAGTGTCATTCTAAGTGAACATGGTTTTAACAGAGGTCAAGGTGTGGACAGGGCTGGCAATGGTGCTGTAATGCTTAATGAACCTTCTATAAAAGTTTGTAAACCCAACGATCCTCTGCAGCTGTTTGCTGTCCTTGGGGGTCAGCCAATCCAGGACTGCCAAAACCTTGCTGACGTCCATGGCCACCCAGTCGGGGGAGATAACAAATCCCAGGAACGAAGTCGATTTCTGGTGAAATTCACACTTTTCTGCTTTAATAAAAAGATTATTTTGCAGCAATCTCAACAACACAGCTCTGATGTGTTTCCTGTGGGTACTCATATCCTTTGATATAACTGATGTCGCCAAGATAGACAAAGACGAACTGGTTAATCGTCTCTCAAAACGTCATTAACCAGGGCCTGGAAAACAGCAGGAGCGTTGTTCAGACCAAAGACATAACAAGATACTCGTAATTACCATCTGGGGTGTTAAATGCCATCTTCCATTCATCCCCCTCATGAATGCGAACCAAATGGTAGGCGTTTCTAAGGTCTAGCTTAGTGAAAACAGTGGCCCCTTGAATAAGATCAAACGCCAATGACATTAGTGGAAGAGGGTATTTGTTCTTAACAGTGATCTTGTTTAACCCTCGATAATCAATGCAAGGTCTCAGAGTACCGTCCTTTTTGCCAACAAAGAAAAAACCTGCTCCGGCAGGTGAGGCCGAAGGGCGAATGATACCAACCTGTAAATACGTCTTAATATATTTTTGCATGGTCTTTAATTCAGGATTAGGCAATGGACATAACCGTCCCCGTGGGGGACTCATGCCAGGCAAAAGATCAATTGCGCATTCGTAAGGTCTATGTGGGGGAAGAGAGGTAGCCTTAATCTTGTTATAAACCTCTCTGAGATCATGATATTATTTATACTTTAGAAAGGTCTGGATAAGTGACAGCAAAGTCTTCTGCTGGGGGGGAGGACTGCCTCAAAAAAACAAGAGGAGAGACATTCCTCAGACCAGCCTATTATTTATTTACCCCTCCAATTAATGTTTGGGTTATGTTTTTGTAACCATGAAGCCCCCAGGATGATAAGGAGTTGGGGGGATTTAATGACAATAAATTCCACCTCCTCAGTATGGTTACCTCCTAAAGTCAATCTGACGGGGGCAGTAAAGAGGCAAGAGTCACTGAGAGAGTGGCTGTCCAAGGCAAGGATCTTGTGATTTTTATTAGATTTTGATTAGTTCTATCCTTAAAGCCACAGCAAATTGATGAACTCTGTATTAGCACCAGAGTCAATAAAACTGTAACAGATGATGGTCACATACCAGCAGGCTGTAGTTCAGCACGGATGGTAAATGGTGAGATCTTCAGGTCACTGATAGGACTCAGCAGGTGTCCCCTCTCCCCTGCTGAGTCTGGTCGTTTAATGGGCATTTGGAGATTGGGTGGCTGCCATCTCTGCAGTAGAAACAGATTCTTAATTTCCTTCTCCGGTCCCTCTCTACGGGGGGTTAGGCGACTTCTGCCTAGTTGTCATAATGGTTTATTATCTGGATGTTGTGGAGGAAAATTAACACAACAACTCAGACTTTTCAGCCTATTCACCTGTTCCTCTCATTGGTTCAGAGATACATGGAGAAAAGACACAATAATCAGTCAGAGAGATTCAAGTTAAAAGTATTACCAACATTTATTAAAGCTTTCAGCTGAAAGGAGACGCTCTTACCCCAAACCAACAGAGACACAGCAAAAACCCAAGACACGTCCGACTAGAGCTTCAGCATCTCCTGTATTTAAACACAAAAGCTCCACCCAGAGATGTGTCACACATTCTTAAGTTCTTTGTCTAAACTAGTTCAAACTGATGTCTTCATTTCTTGGAAGTCCTTTTATGGAGTTGTTTTATTATTTTCTTCTGCCGTTCCAGTTTACTTGGTGATCTTGTCATCAGGTGGGACACACACACTAGCAGCTCCCTGTTAGTTCATGTCCCGTACACAAAAAACTTAAATACATTCTCTGACTTAGTTCACTCTGTACTTGATGATACCAAAAGGCAAGCAGATCCAAAAGCCAAGCAGATACAGATAAAGGACAAGATACAGTTGTGATACATCGAGCAATAGAGCACAGCAGATAAGAGTGTCTTTACAATGTCCAAATACTTCCTTAAAATGTCTTCAGTTGATCCAAAATGCTGCTGCCAGAGTCTTAACTGGAGTTAGTAGGAGAGATCATATTTCTCCAGTTTTAGCTTCTCTCCATTGGCTCCCTGGCAAATCCAGAATAGAATTCAAAATCTTACTTCTAACATACAAAGCTCTCAACAGCCTGGCTCCATCTTATATTACAGATCTTTCATCCATCCATTTTCTTCCACTTACCCGGGGTCGGGTCGCGGGGGTAGCAGCCTAAGTAGGGAGGCCCAGACTTCCCTCTCCCTAGACACTTGGTCCAGCACCTCCGGGGGAATCCCGAGGCGTTCCCAGGCCAGCCGAGAGACATAGTCCCTCCAGCGTGTCCTGGGTCTTCCTCTGGGTTTCCTCCCGGATTTTACAGATCTTATTGTTCCATATTTTCCTAACAGAGCACTTCGCTCTCAGACTGCAGGTTTACTTGTGGTTCCTAGAATTTACAAAAACAGAATGGGAGGCAGATCTTTCAGCTATCAGGCTCCTCTCTTGTGGAACCAACTTCCAATCTCTGTCCGTGAGGCTGACACATTATCCAGCTTTAAAACTAGGCTTAAGATTTTTCTTTTTGCTAAATCCTATAGTTAGGGTCGGCTTGGGTTTCCTGAGCTGTCCCTTAATTATGCTGCTATAGGCTTAGACTGCTGGAGGACAAACTGACCACAATTTTCACTCTACTACTGTCTTTATTTACTCTGCTCAACCTGTTTTGTATTTGTAATTATTTTTTCTATCCTTAACATGTGGGTTAAGATCTTTCAGATACACCTGGACCTATACCTGGACATACCATTCTATGTTCGTCTGTCTCTCCTTCCTGTCCTCTCAACCAGCCGATCAAAGCAGATGGCCGCTTGTCCTGAGCCTGGTTCTGCTGGAGTTTCTTCCTTTTAAAAGGGAGTTTTTCCTTTCCACTGTTGCCACTGAGCTTGCTCAGGATGAGAGACTGCAACGAAGCCAAGATTCAACTTCTCTGCTGGATTCCTTAGATAGAGAACTTTACTAATTGGCTTTTATGTATGTGAATGTTTCTGTAAAATGCCCTGAGACAACTTTGTTGTGATTTTGCGCTATATAAATAAACTGAATTGAATTGAATAGGTTCATCTGTCTGTGGGACGTTACTGGTTAGAGCGGCTGGCTTAAATGGTGGAAGGTTCTGGTCTCACCATAGGACCTGGTGGTTCTTATGGGTCTGGTCTCCCTCTGACGTTTTCTTTCCATGAGTCGAAGGTCCACTTGAGTGGCCAAGTACTCCAGAGCTTGGAGAGACCCGGGATATTCCTGGGTAGCAAGGTGGTCATTGATGTCATCAGAGACCTTGAAAAAACACATTGGTTAGAGCTCCATTGTTCCAGCAACTATCAGCAGCCATCCTGATGCATTTTCAATAATCTAGGTAGAAAAATCCAAAAAAGTTAAATCTGGTCCTCTGGACACTCAAAAAAAAAAAAAAAAAATCAACAAAAAAATGTAGAAACGTTTCTAAAAAAGTTAAATCTGGCCCTCTGGACATTCAAAAAAACAAAACAAAACAAAGCAAAACAACAAAAAAGTAGAAACGTTTCGTCTTTCATCCGAAAGACTTCGGACACAGACAGCGTCCCCACTAGCTCAGGAGCCAGGCAGAAGGAGAAATCTCACACAAGACAGGCTCTAGAGCAATGTGGATATCCTAAGTGGGCCTTCCTGAAAGCAGAGAAGAAACCCAAACAGCACTCCAGTCAGCCAACAGGTGAAAAGGAGGAACCCAGACCCAGACCAGTGGTCATTCCATATGTTGAGGGAGTATCAGAGAAACTGAGATGTTTATTTTCTAAATATAACGTCCCAGTGGCTTTTAAACCCCAAAATACATTACGGCAAAGACTGGTTCATCCCAAAGATCCAGTCCCTCGGCACAAACAGAGTAATGTTGTGTATGCTGTTCAGTGTCAAGAGGCCTGTGATCAGTCTTACATCGGGGAAACTAAACAGCCACTGGCCAAAAGGATGGCCCAGGACAGAAGATCAACATCATCAGGCCAGGACTCTGCGGTCTACACTCATCTCCAGGCCAGCGGTCACTCTTTCAGGGATGAAGATGTTCACATCCTGGATAGAGAGGAACCATGGTTTGAGAGAGGAGTAAAGGAGGCCATCTTTGTGAAAAGAAATCGTCCATCATTAAACAGGGGTGGAGGCCTCCGGGTTCAACTGTCCCCCTCTTACAATGCTGTGATTGCTAGTATCACTCAGCCCTCTGTGAATAGTAAACAGCCATCAGTGTGCTAATGATCCATTGTTAGGCTGATGGTCCTTCTTGAGCATGTGATCAGCTGGTTTTGGTTGTCAACAGCAAAACTGGTTGATCCACTCTGAGAGGGTGCTGTTTATAAGACTGAGCTGAATACAGCTCCTCAGACTTTTTCGGATGAAAGACGAAACGTTTCTACATTTTTTTTGTGTGTTTTGCTTTGTTTTTTTTTTTTTTTTTAATGTCCAGAGGACCAGATTTAACTTTTTTAGATTTTTCTACCTGGATTATTGAGCATGCATCAGGGTAGAAACGTTTCGTCTTTCATACGAAGACTTCCTCAGTCTGAAGAGCTGTATTCAGCTCAGTCTTATAAATAGCACCTTCTCAGAGTGGATTAACCAGTTTTGCTGCTGACAACCAAAACCAGCTTCTCACATAATCAAGGAGGACCATGAGCCAAAAGATGGATCATTAGCACACTGATAGCTGTTTACTATTTACAAAGGGCTGAGTGATACTAGCAATAACAGCATTGT